TGGGGATTTAGGCAATGCTTTAATTGGTGTGGATCAGTTACTAAATAAAATACTGAACTCAGCACAAAAGCTGGAGCGTGAAGTCAATAACAATAGATGGACCTAGGAGCGAAAAAACCCAAGAGGTGTCGGCTTTCTGACACCACAAAAAGCTGGAAGGTCACTTCACCGTGCAGTGAAATAGCTTCATGCACAGAATGCAGCCTGCATACCAGGAGGGGATTACTTTTTATGAGCAGAAGTGGAATAAAAAATTCTTTAAATTAAGCCCACATGTAGAAAATGAAGAAAGGCTGCAAAGAGGCTCATCCTTCAGGGAGTGTCAGCCTCAAAAGGCTGGGGAAAGCCCAGCTGTGCCCCAGCAGCTGGTACCCCACGGACTCTGAAAGAAATTGGACCTGGCCCCCCACTGCGATATTATGGGGGCTGTTTGCAAAGGTGGGGGACTGGTCCTCATCCAGTTGGGTAGTGACATTTGGATTCCACTTGGCTGCATTTCAAGTGCACATATGAAAATTACATCCCTCAGCAGTGGGATGAAGTTGCCATCTTGAATGGAAGAAGGTCTATTTATAATGACTTTGTAGATATTTTTAAAGGCCAATAAAAGAAAAAAGCGTGACAACTGGCCCATGTCTAATGTGACAAACAATACTTTGATTGGGAATAACCACATTTCAGCATAGCACAGGTGCATGCTCCCACGTGCACAATGTGGTAACATCTACCCTTTCCCTTACTGAATTGACCACAGCCAAGGAAGCAAGGCTCCGGTGTTACACCAAGATCCCCGTTTGTCACAACTACGGGAATTTTCAGAATAAAGAAATAAACCAGAATTCAGGGTATAATTGAGGCTAAAAATATCCTGGTTCACTCTCCCTCCTATAGCCAGTCTGCTGATACTTTGACTGAAACCTTGCCGTGGCAGAAGATTGCTCCTCTCCTCCCTAAGAAGTGCCTGGTGTATTCAGAAACACACACTGGGCCATCAACCATCATGATTTAGGGTCGTCTCTGATCTCTCAGAATAGCAGTGGAACCAGATGCCCTTCTTACCTCTCCCTTCTGGACTACTTTGGATACAATAAATGGCCACAGTAAAATATGGACTAGTGCTGCTTTCAGTGAGGTCAGCATAGCCAAACTACTATTGATTGTGAAGGGAAGAAGATCAGACCCTCTTTACTATGAGTATTCAAGGTAATTAATCACTTATGAGCTACAAAATTCGAACAGCTTCATTAAAATATATTACTAGTGAGTTCTGTTCAGAGTTTTCCTTTTATGTTTTGGTAAAATATATGTTAGAGCGTTCTTATAGGATGCTTTCTGAAATGTAGCATTTGTGGGAATACTGCATTGTCTTAAATACCAAGACACTTTGCATGGGTTGAGTGCTTCATCTGTATTCACCAGCAAGCAGCAGCAGATGAGCAAACAGCTATGGCACCTTTTTAGGGCATCTGCAGTTCTTCCAAGATGACTGCACCTGCCAACCAGCATCGCGACTGTGTAAATCCGAAATGCGTTCTGTGCGAGGGCTGTGCTACAACGACATGAAATTCTGAGACCACCACAGAAAATGTGGGCAGTGATGAGACCGCATTGTCCCAATGTTTGGAAAACACCATTCTTTCGCCTTGGGGAAGGAGAGCAAAGGTGGAGGGCTTCTCAGGTTTGGGAGCATGACCACCATTTTCAACAGGCCAAGACATCGTCCCTAATATTTCTTCACCACCTTTTCCCAAGTTGCATCCTGCTGTTCTTAAACTATGTGACCTATCAATGAAATACAGTCACCTCTATATCAATCACAGCTAGTCAGCTCGAGTCCCACCTATGGCTGGGAGGAACTAGGCAGGTACCCCCTGTGCACAGGGGGAACGCCACGCCAGCAGAAGTCGGTATACCCAGCGGTATGAGTTACACCGGATGACAAGGCAGATACTTGGGCTCCACCCTGGTGCTGTGAAATGACCTAATGTGGACTTCAGCCTCCTTGCCCGTCTCCTTCCCTGGAGACACTGGTTTTCACTGTTTTTAATGTGTGTGGTGCTGCCTCGGCGTGCTGCTGGTTTCTGAAAGTGCTGCTGCATCATTTTCAGTGTCTGGATGACAGACCACTTGGACCTCCAGAGGAGGCAAGAACACCTTCAAAAGTTTCCTGTCTTCTTGGCCCACGAATAATTAAGATGCATAAGACAGGCAGCTTAGTTATTTATTTATAGGTTCTTCGGTGACACTTATCGTGGCAGCATCAGAGTGGCAACAGCCTGATATGCTAACGGGTGACAGTGCAACCCTATCCTGCTAGCTGGACCGTCCCAGGGAAACCTCTGCAGCGGACACTGCCGTGTTGCGGAGCGGAGGAGAGCCGACGTGTTGCAGCAGAGGGAGAGGAGCCGGCGCTCTCCTCCAGCCCTGCCCGCGCGCTCCTGCACCAACGCACTCCTGCCTTTCCACTCTGTTAGGGGTCCGGAGGCTGCTGAGTAGCAAGGGAGTGGTGGCATCCCGTGGCGTTTGCTGAAAGCATCCGGCTGAAGGAGTTTCTGGTTTACTGTCTCTGGTGTGGAGAAGAGAAGGCCTCTTCTCTTGACCCTGACATACATGTTAAATATCCAATCACCATTTTGCACAGCCTGGCAACCCAAAGAACTAGCTGCTGCGGGGGCAGCGCTCAGGACAGGGCATGGGCAGGAGGAGGCAGCACTACAGAGACTTCATCAAAAGACAGGAAAAAAATTGGAAAACACTGTCCCACTCACAGTAGCTGCCAGAGATCGATGGATTGCTCTGACGTGCTGTCGGTTGGCTCTGGGAAAATGGCCACGAGCTGGACCACACAAGATGCTGCATCCCGTAGGCTCCCTCGTCCCCAGGCATACCCATTGATACCTGGCTCTGTGTGGTGTTTGGTTCAACGAGCTGCCCATAGGTGAGGAAGGCAACTGGGAGCAGCTCAGACCAATTCACAGGCCTTTTTAGAGTTGTCAGTGAAATGATGGCCAACACGCCGCTTGCCTCAACAACTGCAGAAATGGTGCTTTACAAGTTCAGTCTTTGGGAACCACCTTTTAAGTTAGATTATCTTATTTGTGTCTGAAACAAACTTGGTCCTCCCCAGCCTGGACAGAAGGGAAAGTGGGAACAGTTATGAATGCTCTTCTTTTTTTGTGGGTTTTTTTTTTTTTTTCTAGAGGAAGAGGAAAAGCCGAAGTACTAGAGAAAATCCTACCTTATGCAGGATATGTTCTTCTATCTTCTCTATTGCTGAATTTATTACAGGTATGCTAGAGGCATCCTAAACTAGAAGGAATATTTTTAGAAATTCTTGGTATTCTCTTAAATCAAAAGCTACTGACACAAATGCTCCTTTTGGTTTAACGTATCTCCAAAGCAAACAAGAAAGCACCTTGCGAAGCTGCGAAGAGAAAACATGCTCAAACAGTGTTTGAAGTAGCTCATAGTACAGAAAACCTTTTCATACGGATATTGTCATGCAGGCTGCTATTCATAATGACAGGGATCACCTGCTCTTCTTTCTGCCACATAGCATCGCAGTGACGATTCCAGCAATTGCTTACATGGAAAAAGGGGTAGGAAAGTACTTATGTATTTTTAGCTATCTTTTTAAAACGCAGTTCAGCAGCTGGAGAAAGATAGGAGAAACCAACACCACGTAGGCAATCACTCACGGTGAAGATTAGAAAGTGCTATGTAGACCTCAGTTTCTGAACTTCTGAGGTAAAACATAAGGTTAAACACCAGGGACAAATTCTGCACTCACTTCTTCTGTGTCATTTCATTGAGGGTTCCAGATTTGTGCTCGTGCTGCTGCAGGTGCATCAGAATCTCCTTCACCGAGGTCTACTGTTTACTTTGTCTGCTATATGCAACTTTTAACTGAATCATAGTTTGTTGGTTTTCTTGAAAAATAAAAAAAAAAAAAAGAAAAAAGGAAGGTAGGAAAATAAGAAAATGGAAAAGAGAAAGGAAAAAAGAAAAAGAAAGAAAGAGGAAGAAAGAGAAAAAGAAAGAGAAAGAGAAAGAAAAGGAAAAAGGAAAAAGGCAAAGAAAAAAGAAAAAGAGAAAAAGAAAAAGAAAAAGAAAAAGAAAAAGAAAAAGAAAAAGAAAAAGAAAAAGAAAAAGAAAAAGAAAAAGAAAAAAAGAAAAAGAAAGAAAAGAAGGAAAAGGGAAACGGAAGAAGCTGAAGTTGGAGAGGTGGGGCAAGGGCAAGGCAAGGCAAGGAAAAAGGAAAAAGGGGGAAAAAGGGATAAAAGGGAAAAGGAAAAAAGGAAAAAGGAAAGAGGAAAAAGGAAAAAGGAAAAAGGAAAGAGGAAAAAGGAAAAAGGAAAAAGGTAAAGCAGTTGTAACTCTTTTCTTCCTGGTGTTTTTGTGGTGCTCAGACTTGTGAAATGTATCACAGCCTGACTGCTGACCTATTACAACTGCTTCAAGACCTCAGCCAAAAATTCTGATACTGATACAGCAACATATAATCTGCTCAAGCTAAAAATAAAGAATGATGCTTAGAAAATAGTGTAAGATTAATTTATTTACAAATATTTCAGCCAGTTATATTTAAAAAAACCCTTTTGTTCTGAAGACTGAAGAATGATAAAGTGTAATTCAGAAATTTTAGACACACTGATGCTTTGCTGTTCCTTGGGGGTATTTTTAGTGTTGGCTTTTCCTTTTCTGGAAGCTTCTAATGTAACAATACCTTGCACCACAGTGCTGATGCGGGGATCAGTGGTTCATTAAAAGCTAATCCGTGAGACATTAGGTTTACAAGTGTCACAGACACATTAGATTTGAGAACAAGGAGGAACAGCAGTGGTGAAAGGATTGTCAAATATACAGAGAATATCCCCATAAGTGGGTACTACCATTAGTTTTGCAGGAAAGCATTAGTTCTGAAAATTAATTTTGTATGTGTAATTACTGGTCACAGCTGTTTAGGAAGTGGCATTATAGCAAGTTAGACCGAAATCAATCAAAAGAGGTTTTATTTATTTTTTTCCATTTGAGATTATCTCACTGGTTTAAGCAGCACTCTTTATACTCAGAAATCCCTACATCTGTAAAAAAAACACAAAGACTGTAAAAATCTAATCAATCTTGAATAATTCAGCTGTCTTTGCTTGCACATGATCTACATACAGCCTTTCAGACTAACTCTCAGCTAGTTCCTTCGCTATGAACGTCAGTCAGTTATCTACAGGGTTTGATATAGTCTTTATAGAAAGAGAAAATGGCAGAAACCGCTTTACTTTTCCTCCATGGATAGTCGGTAAAGATTCTCGCCCAAGTATTCGAGCCTCTCCCGTTGTTCCAGGTCCTGGTACAAGCCTTTGGGGACCTTGCTCAGGCCGTAAACCAAGCCGTACAGGCAGGCAGCGATAGACCCAGTAGCCGCACTTTCTCCTGCAGGTTTAAGCACAATTGCAAAGGTCTCTTAGAGTCACCTTCACATACACAACCAAAAACCACGCTGCACAGAGGGGGAAATATTATGCTGCTGATGGAGCATGGTGGGGGCACGTTGGGTCAGTCCCAAAGCCTTGCACCACCTCGTGTCCTGCCTCTGGCACTGCCAGGTGAGGATGCCTAGGGAGAGAGCCACACCAAGTCAAGGATGCGGCGATGCCTCTGCAGCGTGCACTCTTGGGCTAGGAGCTTATTTGGTTTGGGAAAAATCCACTCCAACACAACAGTTCTTGCAAGCAGCTAGCCATCACTAGGAAAAAAGGAGGGAAGAGTAGTTGCAGGGGTCCCTGCTACTGGTAAATGTCCTGGATTGGAGGGTGTATCTTCCTTCCTAACAGCACAGCATGGTGTTGCATGCATTTTAAAACATCTAGCCACGGTGAGTAGCACCGATGCTCCACGCGGTAACCCGCGGGTTTGTGCTTGCCGGGCCCTGCAGCAAGGGATCGTGAGCTCTCTTGGTTTCACTATGTGCAGTTAAAAGGTTGCATTGCCAAAGGCACTAGCGTTTTGGTGGGGGAAGACGCCAGCCCTTTACTGAGTCATATTGGATTTACTTCTCATGCACGTCTCAAAACTGTGAGACTTAGAAGGAGCAACATTTGAAAAGCAGTGTGAATGGATTGCATGGCAGTTACCACTGCAAGAAGGGGGTTTAGGGGGTAAAACCAGGGGTGCAGATATAATAGGCGGCATGCCAGATTGGCCAACAGTGGCAGCCGACAGCCAGGAGGGCTCTCTCCCTCACCTCCGTGGAACATGGAGCGGTTGCAGAGCTCCGTCCAGTCCCCGCCGCAGCCCAGCAGGGCGTCGTAGGCGATCATGGGGGCGTCGTGGCCTCGTCTCCCACCCCGGCCTTCGGAGCTCCACCTCCGGTACGTCTGCGGGAGAGACGGTGGTGTCAGGGTAGGGCACTGGAAATGGGGACGCGGGGCACGTGGCTGCGCTGGGGTGGCTTCTCCCCTGCTCGGTGGGAATAGCTCGTCTCGCAGGGAACGGGCAGTAGGCAGCTGCGTTGCCTGCACTGCTGCCTGCGGCGCGGGATGAGCCAGCACAGCAGCAGCTACCGCAGCCTCGGTGTTGCCTGAGGTGCAGGTGTAAGCCTGCACCCCAGCTTAATGCACCAAGTCCTTGGCAGGCCGAGAACGTGGCTTGATTTAAGCAAGCCAAGAATACCAAAAAGTAGATCAAGATAGATTCCAAGTTCACACCCCAGAAATTCCTTATTATTTAAAAAATTAGTGTTGATAAGGACTTACTTTGTTAGTCCTCTTCCTGCCTCTTGGAAATATTCTCAATTCCCCTTGTCACATGTTTGCAAATGTTTCAATTAGCCAAGTTTTACATGGGGGGTGAAAAAGTTCTGATTCAGTAATTTCTTTAGGGGCTCAATTTCAGACTATATCAATTCAAGCCCCCTTCTCTGACTTTTTCTTACCAAACCCTTTCTCTCCTTTTCCACAAGCATTTAATGAACAAGAAAGAAAATAATTTGCAAATGTAAGAAACATTTCTTACCCAGGAGAAGAAAGAAGAAAAAAACCCTAAAGCCCACAGCTAGGTTTGCAAAGGAAAACTGGATTTTCTCTAGAGGAGGTACCTCCAGAACTGAGTTTTTTCTGCCCAAAATCCCCAAATGAACTCAACACTGATAAATTTATAGTAAAAAAATACCTTCCTTTAAAGGAAATGGGCAGCTTTATTTCCTGAAGTTTAAGTTACATGATGGTAAGTTGAATTGCTGCTGCTTGGCTGGCTCTTGGCTTCTGCAACACGTATGAAGGGTTTGCATTTCTATCATCTATTCACTTCCACCTCAGCCATTACATACTTGGTTGTGGTTTTTCTGCATATACATCAAACAAGGCAGAGTTGGACTACAGCTGCACTCTGCTGCTTTCTATTTTTTTTTTTTTTCAATCTAGAGAGCGTATTTACATCTTTATGCTGTCCTCAGACACATGCAAACTTTCCAGCCTTATTGCTGCAGTTTGGATGCTGGTGGAGCAGAACTGACACACGTGTAACACTACCAAAGGCAAGAAGGCTAAGCGTGGAGGTGCTATTCTGGGTGGGCAGGCAGGCGGCTCAAGTGTCGCTCCATTTAGCCCTTAAGAACGCTGATGCTCTGCACACATCTGATGTCATCTCGCCTTGCTGAAACAACTTTACGCTAGGGATAGCTGTCGTCGGGGCTGAGCCTCTGGGGACTTAACTGCACCAAGACAGCATTTCTCAAGCATTTCAAAAGTGCAACCCCCTTTTGACTCCTGCGTCTTCGTGCAGCCCTGCCGTGTGGCACCAGCCCAGCTTCCCTAGGGCAGGCGGGCAAGGAGCGGCAGCTCCGAGTGCCTGGATGGGGGTCTCAGCACAGGCTCCCTCTCTGCTGAAGGCACTGAGCTGCTGCCAAGCCCCGGAGGTAATTCACACGTCCCCTCCTTGCTGTAAACCCCTGTGGTCAGTAGTTACAGCTGCCTCTGACTTCCCCACCCTCCAGGAGCTGACCCACTGCTGGCTAGCACTCCCTTTCCATCCATTTTGTTTCCCTTCTGGGTCCTTTCACAGTGCTGGTTTAAGCAACTGCATCTTAAGGGGGACGAGATCCTCAGAGTCTAATTGGCCTGGATGACTTTGGTTTGATTCCTCTCTCGTTTTGTTGCACATCGTGTCCAGCCCGGGAAAGCGAGCAGGGCAAGTGATTTGTTTGCAAAAGCAAGGCTGACCCCGAGAGCAGTGCAGTCTCTGCCTATTCGCTGGGTATCTAACATGTTCCAAATGTGTATCACTGAAAAATGATTTATCCTGCATTAGCCCATCTTGTATTTATACATTCAAGATGGGGTAATTTGTCTTTTATCCCCACATTTCTAGTTATCTCCAAGTTTAAGCTGTATACCTGCTTACACAGAATGTGGTCTTTGCCGCTTAGCATTTTAGGTGTAATTTCTTTTAGAGAGGGAAATTGCCTTTGCAACATACTCAGATCAATCCAAGCCACATTTGAGGGCTTCACTTTCACATCTCCTGCAGCTGGTATGTGCCTGCAGAAAGGTGCGCCTCGTTGAGCAGGAACATATATACACCCGTTGGCAAGAGCGGTGCCAGGTATTGGTGCTTTATTAATTGCCTGTAGAAAGGCAAGCGGCTCTACCGCCAGACACAAGTGGCCAGGTGGTTTGGAGGGAGTGCAAAGGAGAGCACTCCTGGGAAAAAGGCAGGCAGGATGGTTACCTTCTCCTCATTTATTCTTTCCGTGGCTATTAACACGCTCATCTTATAAGCAAATTAAGTCTCTCGACTTCTGTCAGGCTGTCATCTCTGGTTGGTGGTAGAGTTGGAGGGTCAAGCAACATTTTCCTTTCTTGTGCATCAAAATAAATAGCTCAATAGGCCAAACTAGTTGGGCTAGGGTAATGAAGGTAAATTTTGTTTCTGCATGAGGAATTCATGCAGTTCTCTCTTGAAATGGTCATGGGGAAATACTGTTGGGTTTAAACTCATGTAAAGCTCTGCTAAGACTCCAGTAGAACTGGAAGGAACAAAAAACTAGTAACAAGTTCATGGCACTGAATTAATAAAATAAAACTGGAAGGAGATCTATTCTTTATGTTTGAAGTGAAGAATTTCTTGTTATCCACAATCAATCTACCTTCCACTGGCACTTTTCACTGCATAGATGAGCACCTAAAATATACAAAGTGACTTCTCAGAATAGAACTGTGCTTTAATAGTCTGGAAAAAAGGATTGATTTATGAGAAAAGGTGACAAGAACCACATACTTATTGCTCAGCTGCTAAGTGGAGAGCTTTGAGAGGTGCCAACACATATCAGAAAGCTGTAAACAGCAGGGAAGAAGACACATTATTCCTCTTGAGTTAAGAAGATATAACCAGAAGTCATGAGGCAAAGGAAAGATCAGGTATGCTATAAAATAGTATCCCATGGGACATAGTGAAACACCATCTCTCGAGACACTTAAACCTAGCCTGGGCACAGCCTGCCTTGGCAGAGAATTGCTTAGGACAGCTGTCTTCTGTTCGAAGGACCGTAACCAAGTCCAGCTCCTAGTACCCGGGGGGATTTCTGTGGGACTAGGACCACAGCTCCATTAGGCTTCAATGAGAGCCCCCAGCAAGACGTTTGCCTTTTCCACCCTCAAATAGCCATGGCTTATGTTTTGTACCTGCTTTGGGCGTCAACACCTTTGACCATGAAGCCCACCTCTCTGCACTGTTTCCTCCCATTGAAGCAACCCCAGGACTGGTGGCAACTGCTTTTTTACACTAAGACATACTTGAGCCAGGGATGGGAATTGTTTTTTCTTTCTTGAAATTTTAGAAAAAAATAAAGACTTCTTGACTGCTCTGGCACTGGAAACAGTTGAAAAATACCAGTGTGTCTCTGTGAAAATACCCCTCTCAGTTCAGAGCCTTTCTGAGCCCTTCCTGAAGTTGCAGTTACCTTTTCTCTCTCCTCTGCATCATAGTTGTCCGGAAAGACAGGTTTATTCTGATTCTCCTCGTTGATTTCTCTCTCCTCCAAATAAAACTGCCACTTGGCTTCGAAGTAAAACCAGTGCTCCTGATATTCTGAATGCAAAAGAAATTAATGATGTAGTATTTCATCTCGGCAACATTTTCAGTTCTACTTAAATACATTTTAAAGAAAATGACAGTACTGACTGACCTGAAAAACTGGGTATTTTACAGTAACGTACATTAAACGGGCATATGTACTAAGTATGCAATTTAATATGAAGTGGGACATCTGACTGGAAACAGAAAATGTGAAAGAAGAAAACAGTTTCAGAATCTGGTGCTATTTTTTTGATATATTAAAATTACACTAAGATACATCAAGATGAGATTTGTTAGAGAACTACTAAGGAACACTCCAAGGAGAAGAGTCAACAGAAAGAGAGAAAAAAAAATCAATTCTATGCCGATTTTGGTATTCCTTTACTACAATTAAAGAATATCTAAAAATGCTTACACGTCCTAAATACAAATTGCCTCCTACCTCAGTTATCAGTTTCTAATAATGTAATTTCTCCAGTGTTTCTGTTCTGCTCTCACAGTATTTCTGTGCGATCTTTCAGGAAAAGGTAGATAGGAAAGGCCAAAATTTCCATTTGCATGTATTACAATACATATCAAATATAGTAAAAAGGATAACTAATACCCGCATCTGCTATCTGTGCCCATAAAAATAAGCCTTTTTTAATTACCACAGGTTTTTCTCCTTTTTCTGTCACTTTAGGAAGAATATCTCTAATCATGTTTAACTTTGCATGTGTAAATAATCTTGTTAAATTCAGTTCATTTTCAAGCCAATGCTCTCGTTCAACCTTTTTATCAAGGCTTATAAAGGCACGTAAGTCACACTGACCTGTTGAGCACATACATACCCACCCATCTGCAGAATTGAGGCCTGAGTGAGACCCTGCCTGGGAAGCTGATGGGGTAAGGAATTAGAATTCAGTGAGATGGACCAGATGGCTAAGTATGCTAAGGCAAACTAGCAGTTCAGTATGGGACTATTGGCATACAATTTAAAACAAAATTAAACATTGCTGGTTTTCCCTAGCTCTGTCCTGCTTGGTTGCTCAGTTGTGTGCTGCAAGCGGCTGAGGAGCATGCACACAACCAAACCTTTTCTCTGAAGGACATAATCTGATTTTGCTTCTTTTCCTAAAATGCCATATAAGTGACCCTCTTTGGCAATTAAGATCTTTAAAGCGGTTCAACTCCATGTAAGAAAATCCAAGCTGCCTTGTAGGACTTGATACTTTCACAAGGTTGCTGGTTCCCCAGCCCCAGACAGGGATGAGCCTTCAACCACGTGGCTCTGTAGGCCTGGGAATGCCCAGCTGCCCTTTTCCTGAGTCCATGCCCCAGTTTTGCCTGATTACAAGGAAGCCATTCATTAGAACCCTAAAAAAGGGAGGGTGTTTAGAAAAACAGGGTGAAAATACACTCACAGCCATCACGCCAAGGAGAGCATCTTGAGGAAAAAAAAAGTCAAACAAAAATGTTGTTGGTTGAAGTAAACTTCTGACACCCACTCCATCAGCTAGTTACAAGACTGCTTTTAGAAATGCAGGTCACCTGACAGGTGTCTGCGTGGTTTTTTTCCTATTTCTTCCATGACTATAAAACATGAATGCCTCAAAAATGAATGTTTTCTGTGCAGCACCTCAATAGTGTGATTATTCCAATGCACAGGCCCAGAAACAAAGGGATCAAGCAGTTGCAGATTTTAATTGCATGGAGGACCTTTAGCATGGTCAGAAATCCCATGCTGCCAGCCCTAGCAAGGCTTTGCCCCATCCCTCGAGCCCAGCCTGAGACGACGGTCACATCCAGGCCCATGGGACTATCTGGCAAGTAATCGCAACTGAATATCAGGGAGGGGTGCTGAGTCGAGCCCTGTGTGACTGAACATTGTGTTTGTTATCCACAGAGGATAACGCAGCTAAAAAAGAGTTTTCTAAAACTGGAGGACTCTGTCTGGCAGGATTTCTTTGCAGTGCATCTCACCAGCCAAGGAGCTTAACTTTAATGCAGGAGACTTTTTCCCGCTACCAAAATAGGATGAAGCTCAACAATACAGACACTAGCCGGAGAGCGTGCCTCAGGAGTCCAACGCGCATACCTCCACGCCGAGAGGTCCTGCTGGGGTGGAGTGACAGCGACCTGCTGCAAAGCCACTCAGAGAGGAGCTCGCTCACACTAATCCTGCACCTGCTCCTCATAGGTCTTGGCTAAAAAAATCCTGGTGCGCAATGAGGCGCAGATGAAAATGTGGGGTCTTTCAGAAAGGCTCCCTGGTGCTCCTTTCAGATTTTAAAGCGGCATCTTTCCTTCCCGGGTAAATCTTCATTTCTGAGTGCTCTTGAGTAAAGATTTTGATTGAATTCAATCTTTCTCAACAGCCATCCCTTGAGACTAACAGAAAAAACTCTTTCCTTGATGTTTTAATGTAATGATACTCGTTTGTCCATAGCAGGTCTCACCATTACAAATGCATCGCTCCTTGGCAAGGGGGGACTAAAATACCCTTGCCCTGAAGATCACATACATTACTAAGGCAGCAATATCAAGTTCAGTAGTTGTGTTATGCTCAGTTGTTTTAAAACAAGGATACAACAAGTTGTATCTTAAATATTTGTTCAGAAATCAACAAGTCAGGTCTGAATTTGTGGTCAAAAGCTAACTCCTGGTCAGAAGGCACCTGCAGGTGAACTTTTCCTGGCAACATGAGGAAAGTCAATGGGTTTTCTTATGGAAAATATTGGACTGTGCTAATTGATGGAAGGGAGCTGAATAATTCATATCTCGGCAGTCAGTTTGCCTAGTAACCTGCTAAATATCATTTCTTCTCTCCCCCCTGCCCAGCAATCTTTGATGACTTTCTAAAAATAAAACCGTGCAGTAGGGCATTATCATTACTATTTCTCTTTGTATTTTTGCCACCAATATACCAGGCAACTAACGCACGGTAGAAGAAGGTGGCACCACCTGCGAAGAGCTTACAGTCTGAGCAGAGAAAGCAGGAGGACACCCTGCGGAGACAGGAGAGAGGGGGTAGCAACAACATGGAGAGACTGTGGAGTGATGTTTCTTCAGCGTCTTTCTAGCTGAACATAGTTTTAAGAAAACAACTCTCTTGATTCGTTACCTGCCATGTGGCGAATGGTCTTCTTGCAGTATTCTTCAGCCATCGGCACAACCTTCATCATCTCTCTTCCCCACTGCACAAGGGGTTTCCCTTGTATTGCATACGCCACAAAGAGAGCTGTGCATAGGGACCCTAGAAAGCCTGGAATTCATAGATAACAATGATTACCAACGTGCAGTCCATGCTCTTACCATCCTTGTCATGTCCTTCGTAAGATCATTAGTGGAATGCCTCATGGCTGTCGGGTAGATTAACAAATGCACATAACCTATCTCTGCCTGTTTGCAGGCTGGCTCGCGGCATGTTGAGATTCTTGGCAAATGCATGGTGCTCGTTGGTTTACAACTTATTTTACGTAGAAGGGAGCTTCTGTTCTCAGTGGTGTAACATGACAGAAATTGAGGTAGGGGTCAAAAATAAACATCATCCACTAATGTGATACTGAAAATCTTCTAATTGAAGTCACATGAAATAATTGACTTGCGCAAAGTGATTCGATTACAAGCTATATCACCTTGCTTACAGAGTCATCCAGCTCAAGAGCTGTGGTTGTTAGCTCTAACACTATTTCTGACTCATTTTACTCTAAGGAGTCAAGTCCATGTCTTACTTGGACAATTGCTTCTTTCCTCTAAGGGGACAAGTCCATGTCCCCTTAGAGGAAAGAAGCAGTTGTCCGAGTAGGACATGCTGTCTGCCTGCCTAGCTAGTCTTCCACTTTGGATATGAACATACTTAAGATGAGCTTTTGTTAATGGGCACTCAACACTTCCATGATGCCAGAAACAGAGCGGCTCATTTCTCACGTTTGCTTGTGCTCTTGGCATCCTGTCAAACGCAACAAAACCAAGCCAGTGCAACGTGCAACAGAAGGTTAAGAAAACAACTCAGTCATTTAAATAAGCCCCAGGTGAGCAAAGTATTGATGCGTGTGCTTCTCTCAGTGCATGGGTCCAAAAGAGTTCACTCATGCATAGATGTAAGCATGAACTTCGTGTGTTTTGTTGAAGGTAAAACCAAATTATTTTAGGAAGTGACAAGTCTAGATGAGACGATTACTCATTCTCTCTGCCATAAGACCTGCAATACTGGGTCAGGCCAAAGGCAAGTCTAACCCAGAATCGAAGAGATGCTTTCAGAAAGAATAAAAAACCAGGTAGAGCCAGCTCAAAGGGTCTCACTCAGATAGACAGCATCTAACCCAGCTGCCATAAAGATCCTTGAGTGCCACATTCAGCGTGAGGGTGGCAGCGGAGGGTTTAGAGGGTGAAGTAAAGGGCTAGCAGGGGGCAGCAGAACGAGTCAGTCCAAAGGGTGGTAGAGGCTGGAGTGTGCCCAGAAGGTTTTCGGAGGGCTGGCAGTCTCGGGGGGCAGGAGTTGCTCCCCAGGTAATGCCCTCCCCCTGCTGCTATTGCCCTGTTCCCTCTACTCCAGCAACCCTCACATAGCTGCCCCTCACTGGGCAAGAAGGCAAGTCCCAGCCAAGGTTTCTGGCTCTGCAAATAATGCCAGTACGGAGTGAGCTTAATTGGTTTGGCTTCTCTGCTTCCCAGAGCTCCTACACTAGCTTAGGGGCAATTTTAATTACACAGCTTGATTGCTTTTAACAGCGACAGCCGTTCTCGTCCGCTTGCCTGATCCCCTTTGAACGAAGGCATATCTGTGGACTTTGCAGCTGCCTGTAGCAGCGAGGTCTGCAGCTTAACTAAGCACAACAAGGGGAAGTATTTCCTTTGTCTGTTTGTTTCAGTCCTGACTGACGTGTCAGTTGGGTTTTCTCAGTCTTTGAGTTATGAGAATCACAACTGACGTTTCCCTGGCACCTTTCGGGATGGGAGTGAGGTCCATGGTGGCCCTTCCACCCCTCGCCTCCCCGCCTCCTCGCCATGCCACTTGTCTCTTTTCCCAGCTGAAAATTCCTTCTGGATGTAATTTCTCCCTGTATGGAAGGTGTTTGACAACTTGGATGCTCCTTGCTGACATTTTTTGGCTCTAGTAAGTCCTTTCTGAAGTGGGAGACCCAGACTGCAAGCAGTCTTACTGCTGCTAATGCACCATGGACTTTATATATGGGCTTAATGATATTTTCTGCTTTGCTTTGAATTCTTTTCCTCCAATTTTATGCCATCCTGATGGCTTTTCTGACTGCTTCAGAGCAGTGAGTGTGTTGAACATGTCACCATTCATTATGGTTTTATTTATTGCTGTTTAAAGCAGACAGAATGAATACACGCTTATGTAGCATAAAATGATCAGAATGATAGACCTGAATATTCAAAACAGCATTAAATCTACTTATTTATGTTTTGTTTAGAGAATGTTTCAGATTGTGTCCTAAAATATGTGGAGTTAGATGTTTTGGCTTTCTAGCTTTACCTACAGTGACTGGATATGACAAAACCTGTCAAGAGAAAAATGTTATTATCCCCTGAACCATAAACTTGCATGATAACACTGAGTCATCTAGATGTACATGAATCCTAAAATTTAATCAGGGCAAGTGACATGAATATGCTTTGGACAAGACAGGTTGTGTTTAGTTATTGGGATTTTAGGAGGGAAAACTCCTATGCCTGAGCTTGCTGTCTGCATAATATACGCGCAAATATATCAGCCTATATAAGTAATATATACATGTATATGTTATCCAAGCAAAATTCAAACCAAGGCCTTGGAGTCTGCAAAGCAGTTAACCAGGTGGATTCACAGGAGCCACGTTAGTCCCCACAGAAGTGAAAAGCAGCCTTAGGAATGTCAGCGCGCCGATACGTCAGCGGACATTACCTGTAGGATGGTTATGAGTCATTCGTCCGCATTCAATGCTCACTTCAATAAGTGACTCCAGCCTTTCTGGCTTCCAGTATCGCATCCCTAAACACATGGCTTTTGTGGATGCTCCAAATCCAGAACCTAAAGTAAAAAGATAATGCCAAGCATTTAGAAGAAGACTAATGATACACAAATACGTTGCTAAAATGTGAAACAAGCACATTTTATTAATTCAGCTCATCTGTGGGAACTCCCCAGGGAACGGGAAGTTAGCATGCAAAGCGAGTTACAAGTTTTGAAAGTTTCTTGCGAGGAATTTTGCTTCTACACAGTCATTCTGGTTTTGCAGGTATATTCCAATATTCTCAAGTGCTATGAAGAGCATAGCGGGTTCAGAAAGCAGTGTGCTCTCTTTTTCACAGCACTTGTTTGATTCAAACTCTCATGCCATCTTTACTCATTCTTGGCTGACACCACTGTTTTGCTTGTTCCAGGTGTCAGCACTAGAAACAGAAGTTTGAGAAACAGATGATACGCTTTTACTATGCCCTTATTTTAGCAGTCTTCACGCTGAAAGCACACAATTAAAACACTTTCTATGAGTACCACAGTTGATCTTACAGTTTTAATGCATGTTTCATCCTAGAAAGCCCCACAGGTAGTTCACAAAATAGTTTCTGCTACATACAAAAATAACGTGTCCAAAAAGAAACTAAAGGCTATGGAGCCAAATCCTTCAAAGTTAGGCAATGTCAGAAGCGAGGTTTCCCGTGCGACCTGAAGTCAGTGCTTGTGTGCACACTCATTGCGGTACAGCCTGCACTTACTGAGCTTGGTCTTGGGAATTTCTGCCTTGTGCTGCATGGAGTTTATTTATTGAACAGCTAATTCAGTATTTCTTTTAATCCTCAGCACTGAGTGCCTGATCCTGGGTGTTCAACTTTTAAACACTTCATTGAATGGAGAGTTAAATTTGCTAATGAGTTTCTCTGCAGTACTTATCACAGTAATATCAGGATCCCACAGAAGTTTTAATGAGCTTATCTTCACAAGGCACCAGTGAGGTGATTATCTCCTCTTTGCAGCTGGTGAGCCAATGCCCAAAAAAAGCATTAACTCATTGCAGGCACCCACCCTGAGATGGATAGGGTTCGATTTTTCAAAGTACTTGGCATTTTTCAGCACTGTCTTTGCTCAATCACACTTCTCAGTGACCTTGGGTACAGTTGAGAGCAATCAGCATTTCTCTACTTGGTCCCTGGAAGATAAGGGGCATATTTATGCCACCTAATTTTAGCATCTGTGGAACCTGCAATAGGAGCACAGTCTCCCTGTTTTTCCCAGACAGGCAGCATGGAGAAAGGCTCTATCTCCATTAGCCAGTACGACGGCGTAGTAGGAGCAATTCATGGGCCAGAGTAAACTGAAGCAGCAGGTGCCAAGGAGCTAGGGTCAGGGCTTTTAGTCACCTATCTTCAGAGGAGCCCTCGGCTGCTCCCCTGGGCTGTGCCCGCTGTGGCTGCAGAGCACCAGGGCTCTCCTGGAGCACTGCTTGCCTTTTAATGTCATCCCAAGTGACTTCAGCCCAGGTGTCCTAAGATCACGAGTGTGATCAAAGTGTGGCAGTGGGGGCGGAAGGAAGATTTGCTTCAGAAGTACTTGCCTGAGCCAAAGTGTAACATCATTAACATAAGCCACCCATTGGCATCTGCAGGTGAAACACAGACCAATCTGAATTTCTCTCTCTCAGAGCTCTTCTTCTCCCCAGAGGGCAGATATCCTGAGTGATCGCCCTGGTTAGGTGATCTAATTAGCTGAAGACATTTCTTCCCTTCCTCCTCAGAGTCCAATGTGCAAATTTTGCATGCAATAGCTCTCCCAATGGGTTTAACCACCAAGGGCAGTCTAAAAAAGGCCAAACATCTGATAGATGTGATACGAAAGGCTTTGCAAAATATCATTTTATTCCCCGCAAGCTCAGAGCTTGCTTCCTCCTTGCTAGACTTCTTGATCCTAGTGAAAGAGAGCCTCTCCAGGACACCTTTGGCCGCTGCTCCTGATGGAGCAGCTGGAGACTTGTCCTGCAAATGGTGTGTTTGCTCCTGTACCTCATATATGCTGCAGCTGTAGTGCCTGGTTACTAAGGAGCCAAGAGCCAATAAAACTCTGTCTATCCCACAAATCACACAGAAACCACAAGGAAGAGTCAGGAAAGAAATCCAGACTTCCAGAGCACGGGTCAGCTTAACTGGGAGAACATATCTTCTCCTGCTTACGAGACCAAACTCTTCATTAAACCATCTGCCGCTCCATGGCGGAGTCTTCGTCACTACGCAGTCCTGGTTCCTCCAAAGGACACAATCCATGCTGGTGATTCGAGAGGGAAGGGTGTTGTGCCACACAGAGCTGCTAATTAAATAACATCTCTTTTAGTATATCCAAAGTGGAGGATGCACTACAGTAGTTTCACTGTTGGTCTGAAGGTGCTTGCCTTTGCAACTTCATTGTGTTCCTCCGGTCTAGGAAGTTATATTAAAACCTTCTGCAGACTTAGACAAGCAAACTCAGTAACAAAAAATTCCATCACATAGAGTACCATTAAGTCTAGAGAGGGCTTCAGGAGATTAGCAGCTGTTAGGTCCCATGTCTCAGCATCTACCATTTGAATCAATGAAGTAAGGGACAGTGAGACTAGTCCAAGCAAGGGTTGAGACATGTGTAAGAACATAGCTCAAATCTTGACCTAACTGACCCTGTCTGACAGTGGCCAATGGAGAGGATACTTAAGAAAGGGTAAAAGAAAAGTACAATGATGCTACCCCTTTGTACTAATGAAGCTACTGACAATTGGCTCCCTGATCCAGGGGGCAGCTGGCTATTTGTCTTTCTGCTCAATAATCCTCGAAGGATTTTCCTTGGGTGAATTTGCCCAGCTCTTTTTTGAACCCACATGAACCGTAGCATCTGCAAATTGACATTGGAAAATGGTTGTGCAGCTTCATCAGGTGTTGCATGAAGAAGTCCTCCTTTTTGCTTGCTTTGAACTCATGACCTGCCAGTTTCGTTTGAAGTCCTTTGTTCCTGTGCTGGAGGAGACAGTGAGTTTTCTCTGTCCCTAGTCATGTTCTCCAAGCTATCTACGACTTTACAGCTCACTCTCGTACTGTCTCAGACATCACAGCCTATGGAAGCAGTTTTTTACTAATCCAACCATCCTTCCTCATATCCTTTCTAGTTCTTGTACATCCTTTTGGGGGGAGGGAGGGACCAGATCCTATACAGTAATTGAGAAACAGCAGCTATGGAGCTGTGCACTGGTGCAAACATGTTTTGTGTTTTGTTCTCTGTTCCTTTCCGAGTCACTTCTAACAGCCTATTTGCTTTCTGGCACTGAAGTGACATTCTTGTAGAACTACTGTGGCTCCACGATCCTTTCCCTGAATGGTAGCTGAATCAGCAACTGCAACTACGTATATAAAATTAGGATTTCCCCTCCCTCTTCCTGTATGACTTTTCATTTATCTGCATTGCATTTGGTTCTGCTACTGTGCCACACAGTTACTTATCATTGTGAGCATCTTCCACAACTCTGCACCATATTATCTTTGGCTTTGCTGACCCACTATGCACTTGCATTTCCCGATAGTTTGTGGACATGTTGAACAGCAGAGGTCCAACACAGGTGCTTCCTTCTCTATGGAGAAGACAGACTGCAATCTCCTGCTCTTCATTTACTGTCTTTTAACCAGTTGTCTGTCCTCAGGAGGACCTTTCTGTCATCCTGTAGCAACTTAGTGCCTCATCACTTAGCACCTTTGGTGAGCAACCTTGTTGAGAGTCTTTTGGAAATCCTAATAGACCATCTTCACAGTGCCTCCTTTTTCCTCCTGTTTCTTGGCTACTTCATGAGCTTTCTAATGGAATTCTGAGGTGTGACTTCTTGTCACAAAAGCTGTGTTGACACTTATTACATCATTTTCATTCACGTGCTACATTATTCTCTTATAGTACGTGCTACCTCAGTGTGCTTTTCTTCACTCGACATCCATAGAATAATAAAGATCAGCTTAATGACTGCTAAGCCCTGAAGAGGATGTGTCTTTTGTGACTATGGACTGTTCTGCATGAGAACTTAGAGCCTGGCCCCTTTATCTCCTGTCCATCTGTGGCTCATCCTTCTCTTCATTTTTGCTCCCCAACTTTCTGCATTTAACTCACACTTTTTCCTCATGCTCCTCTACCAATGCCACCAGCAAAAACGCACTGTTCTCAAGTGCTACTAGGAAGCCCAGCAGCTGCTCCAGTAGCTGCAAATAAAGACCTGCTTGGATGCTGCAGCCTCAGCCTGAAATACACACAATACTGGTAAAGCCAAACTACCATTTGACTGGCCTTTCGCAGTGGCTCGGAAGGCACATCTCTGGCTCAAGGGGTACCACCTTACTCAGATTTCAGTTCCAGCTCTGAAACATCAGCGATTCTCTTCTGAACAACTTGAATTTTTGGCAAGGAACAAAACATTTTTACCATGTCTCAGAAACAGCAGACTCATCTGCATCAAAACTTTAAATAAATGCTGACAAACAACGGAGGCAAACACTCAACAGTGAAAATTTTAGCCTTGAGCTTATCAACATCATAAATTGGAAACAAGCTCTTAAAATGGAAGGTGTTAGATAGCCTTGGGCTTCCTGGTGGCCACAGGAATCTCACCAGCCTTTAATGTAATCCAGGTACCTCTGCAATGAGTGCGGCAATGAGCATGACATGAGGTGGCAAAGAGACACACAGGGCAGTTTGACTTGAGAACTCAGTGTTCTGACTACACCCACAAGAGTTTGAGCAGATGAGCATTATATAAGCAATGCAAAATTACCTAAGCTAAGATTTCACTGGTCCCTGAAGGCTGGTGCATGAATTCTTGTGAGAAGTGAGATAAGATAGAATGACCACAGGAAAACAGCATTTTGGTTCCAGCCCATTCAAGATATTATCCGGCTGCCAGGCATTCAATGCCCGTGGAATGTTTTTGACTCAAGAAGAAATTTGTGAAAATTCAATTAAGAAGTAAGTAAGTTAATTATGTCCATAGCAGTGTCAGGTCCCATGGTAGGCTGAACATCTCCACCTCAGGTCACTGGTTCTTTTCCTCTCAGGGTGGAAAAAAAGGCTGCTTGAGACGTTCAGGATGATATTTGTCATACCAGATGGAGAAGGTGAGCTTTAGCTGCCAGATCTCAAGGCAGGAATTCATTTTAGATCCTTCTAGCCCACAGTATCCCAAAAGCAAATAGTTCGTCATGGAAAGCTGGGGAGGAGGAAGGCTAAAAGAAGAGATGTAGCTCCAACACAGCAATGGGCCAGGGAACAGCTGTGCTCCACTGCTGGAGGTGTTGAGAGCTGCTCAGGGCCAGCAGCAGCTCCCACAATTATTTTGACCAAATTTTGCTCACTGTCCGTCAGAAAACATATGACAAGTGCCAAAGGGGCACTTTCTCAGATCTGCCTGGCTAATAGCGGCGTGGGCAGAATAAATGGGGAGGGGATCCTTTTCGCTCCCAGCAGCTGTTGTGAGGAGCAGGGGCCAAATGAGAGATGCTTTTTGTGTCAGAGAAAACTGGCGGCACAGACCCAGAAATAGCCATGGCATTGTGCCACCGGGTCTTTGCCACTATATTGCATCAATATGCAACGCCCTTGAGTGGTGCCGATATGTGCTGCAGTGATAGAGCATCACAACGACACAGCGCAACGTCTGTGTGGGCTGCCATCATCTTGTGCCTGTCCAGGTCTACCTCCTCTGGTGATGTGGTGCCTCTACAGTCTTTCAAGATTAATTGCACTGTATGGGTATATGCGTATGTATGTGCACATAGCTGCATGCACGCTATTCAAGTTAAAGCAGAAATTCAATTGATCATAAAATGAAATTATCATAAAGAGAAGGAAAGAGAGGGTCATGGGTAGGGAAACAGGGCTAGGAACGTTAGGGATTCTCAGCAAAACAGTCATAGTTGTTAGCAGGGGATCCACCTGGAGAAAGTCTCTGCTTTCCCTCCGGCGAACACATTGGTGCATAGAGCATTTCACAGGCTCGGCTTTTTGTTTCAGATCTGCCATCACTAAAAAGATCCAAGACTACAAACATTTAGATGAAAAATGGCAGAAAATATTTCTTAAAATAATCATTAAACTCAAGGACAAAGATCTGGACCCAGAGGCACAGAGCCAAGAACAAAGTCTCTTTAAATAGATGTTAAAGAGGGAAGGGTTCATTTACGAGAGGACATAGTGCCCTACAGAAGGAATTCCTGGCAGACCTCTTGCCATCCTCAGGCAAACATGGAAATGTTTCAGGGGTAGTAGTCTTTGATGTCAGGGGGGAAAAGGAAAAAATTCCCATATAGCCACAAACGCTGAAAGCAGGCATTATTCAAGCCAGGATCTATAAATGGAAAGCGGTACCATACCCTTTTCATTGAATGGTGTGTGCCAAGCGAGAAGGTAGTTGTCTGGTTTTAATTCCCTGCAGCCTTCGATGGTAGCGGGGTCTGGCCGCCTCCCCGAGAGCTTGTCAACAGCATCCACGTAGCGTTTTACCAGCTCCCGGTACAGGTCTTCTAAACACCAGTAATCTGCTCAGAGGAGGGAAGAGAAGGTTGCTGTGTGAAGGCAGAAGAGCAAGAGAGCCCTGAAAACAAACAAGCAAGCTCACTATGCATTTAAGAAATGTTCCTATTTCTTCTTCCGATACACCAAGTCGTGTTTCTCCTGCCATTGTCAACACATTTTTACACACCATGAGAGTGGGCTGGAGGGACAACAGCCTCATCTCTCTGTTCTCATCTTTTCCTCCTTTCCCTTCCACTTTTAATTCCTTTAATCAGGAAGATGAAGGCATTCTCTTCGTCAACAGTAGCTGCTCAGGGGCTTTATTTAGGCTCTGTGGTGTGAAGTATTTACAGAGATGTCTAACTGTAAGGTGAGAGTGTTGCTGCCGTGGGGACTGGGTGTATGCGTGCAGCGAGCCCTGCCGGGCTCAGCCCGTGCCTTTGCCATCATTTGCAGACACGAACCCAATTTAAAAATGAAAGCCTATTTTTTTAAAATTACCACTGAATTATTTTAAAGAAGTATGTATGATTAAACAAAAAAGCAAATTAGTGACCTTATTTTTAATCTGAATTTTGTATTTATTTTGTCTAAAATTTGTAGGTCTTTCATGCAGGAATCCCTATATCTTTTGTCAGTACAGTAGCCAGAACAGCAAGCTTTTATAAAAATGATTATAAAGATCAGTAAGAGTAGCAAATCCCTACAGTCTGTAGTATTTCCAGCAGGTAAATGTCTTTCTGGAATAAGTTCACTAGCAATATCTGTTTATTGGTTATTTTTCCTAAGGCTTACAGTCTTGCCTAAGGAGGACCCTTTCCCCTGTTAAACATATACTGTTTCTTCAGTATAGCTGCTTCTCTCGGCTGCTGTTGCGTCTCGTTGGGCTTGAAGAGCCCTGCCCTTGGCTCTTGCCAAGGAAAAGATGCCACCGGCATCTATTACAGTTGTGTAATCAGTGGGAACTGAGGAGGCCGTCGGGATTTGTCCATTTATATCTTTTCTATGCGCTTTGAGAAACCCATTTAATACTTGGTTTGACTCACAGATTGAACTTGATTTGACTCACAGCAGGGGAAGTTCTGAAAATATTCTCATTTTGTCAAAGATTGGTGATTTCTTGAAATCCACAGGAGAGGTTTAACTTAAGAGAAAGTTTGGAGCCCTATAAGCCAGAGCCACTCGAAAGTACCAGTTAGGCAGACAGGTGAATAAAGAAGATGCAGGGTAAACCCAAGATTCCCCTCCTTTCAGATAAAAAACCACCCTATCCGTTACCCTGGCCATCCCACATACAATCCTAGATGAACAAGATACTTTCAAGCTGCCGACTCCTTCCAGATTTAGGAATCAGGTGTCAGTTTATCTGGATGGGAGCCAGGAGCACGATTTACCGCCCACAGAAGGCTTGTCCTCGGAGCCAGAGTCCCTGTGGTCCAGCAGCTCTGGGCTGCCTGAGTCCACCACAGTTCCCACACCTGGAGCCAGGCTGCCGTCTCAGCCGTCAAGTCAATAGGACAGGTTCCTTCTTTAGAAATGAACCCTTATTTTTTTTAAACCCATGTTTAAGTCAGAGAGGAAAAGGCAAGGGTTGGTTCCCCTGCTTTTGATGATGCTGGGTTTGTTCCTCCCTTATGGGGCAGATTCCTGCT